AGATTGAACATTTGCTTGTTTTATTTGCATCATTCCCTGTAACTTTGCCTGCTGTTCTGCTCCTCTTGCAAAATAAATGAGCTGAAATCTTTATCATCAGTTTAAGGAATAGGATTCCCTCTCCTCACCCCTGCTTGCTTTGAGCAGCACAAAGGGACAGAGTTGAGGGACAGTCAATTTGTTCACACAGAAATACCCTTTTAAAAGGGAGTTTTATATCTTTGTACTCATCCTATGTCTCTGGCTCAGCATAGACAGCATAGCTGAAGAAAGAATTTACCAAATAGTTAACTGCAGAGCTTTTAGAAAGCTTTGCTGAATAACATAAAGGATTATGGAAAGGACTAAAAAAGCAGGGAAGCAGAAGTTAAGCGGGGTCTGTTCTGAAAAACAAAAAATGCACTCTTTTTTACAATAAACACTGTTAATGTTGAGTTAAATTTCAGCTTAAAACTACTTTAAGTAGTATTTTGTAGTTCTGATAGGGTGTAAATAAATAAAAATCCGCTGGGCATTTGCAGAGTTTGGTCTTAAGAGTGATCAGTAAAAAATATTAACTTCTTGCTGATCATAAAAACCTGAATTGGAAAGGCTGTTTTAGAGGTGATTAGGGGAAATGCCAGTGTAATTCTGAGTAAAATCTTGATAATTCTTAGTAATATTCTGGTGGGTTCTTAGTTACATCTTGGTAGAAACACATGACTCAGTGGAAATGAAAAATCATTTCCACTGACTCAAGGGACTTGGGGCAATTAACTACTCAGTGTGCCTGCCTTTAAAATAGGGTTAATGCCATGTGTGCATTTTGGGGTGTGATGGTGGAGGCAGGGAAGGCAGGCAGGAGCTGGAAGTGTGGTTTACTGTCTGTAAAATACCTAGAGGCTTTCAGAGGCAAAGAACTTCACAAATACAGAGTTCCAGTGCCACTGTTGAGGCTTATAAGTTATAAACAAACATTGTCTTTAGTTGGGGTTGAAATCTTAATTTCATGAAGTATCTTGCTGACACTGAAGATGAGTTCTTACTGTGTCTTTTAAGGGAGACGTTTTTTATACAAATTTCAAGTTATGACTTGACCAGAAAAAAAAAACCTGATGGAAATAAAGCTCTTCAAATATAGGTGTGTTGTCAGTTTGAAGACATCTTCCCAGCGTTGTCCTAGGCTGAAAACAAAAGCTCTTCTTCAAAAAGCAGGAAAAAAAAATATAATTCCTGTCTGCCAACCATTTCGTCAGTTGATAGAGGGTAACATTTCAATTGCTGTTTATTGAGAAGGCTGTCAGGAAATGTTCGAGGAAGGGCAGCCTGAGTTCCCCTCCTGTGCTGCCCCAGCCAGTGGAGCTGTGCTGGTTCTGAGGTGGAAGGTTTCGTGTGTTACACACCTTTCCAGCAGGGAAAACAAGCTGCAGTTCTTTGTCTGGCAGCAGCACTGTTCATTCAGGAAATTCCCTCCTCATAGGGATAAAGCAGCTCTCTCTGGATGAAAGAACTCCAGAATAATTCAGGTACTGGCATACATCTTCGTCTGAAAACTGGGACATGGTTTGCACATAATAGATTTTAGTTAAAACTTGGAAGGAATTGAGGATACATGTATGGCTTAATTACTTAGACCTGCTGGAGCTGAGGAAAGGCTCTGTGTAGCTCTCTCTGTGAATCTGCCTCCTGAGTGCACCCTTCAAATTAAAGATACGTTGTCACGAAGATCTGCTTGGAACACTTCATGTGTGGTTTTCCTTCCCTAAGCCAAAAAAAGTAATACAAAAATGCAGCATATTTTTTTATTTCAGATTGTTTTAATTTTTTGTTAATACCTTTCATTTTAATATCAGAGATACAACCGGTGCTGACCTAGAGATGCTTCCTCTCACTGTTGCTGACTACAAATAACCTGAAGTCTTTTGAGGTTGCTTTTGTTAGCGTGTGTCAGAGCAGTATCAATGTTTTATAACACAGGCAAAAGAGCCTCTTACTACGTGACAGAATTTTGTAGAGCAGTAGCTGATCCTGTTATTTAGTCATGTCCAGAATGTTGCCCAAAGTGAGAATTGGCAGCAATGCTGAATGAATTATTTGCTTTCTGGAAAATAGCTTTTCCATATAATCTCTGGGAAGATTTTACAGAACAAAAAAAAAACATTAACTTTGTAACTTGGTTCAAGGCTTGCTCGCAGTATAAAATTTGGTTTTTGTGGTTTGACAGTTTTATGTGAATTATTTCATCAAGGTCACTTCTATTTTTCCCTGTAAGTTCACTGCTGACACAGTAGATGGTGGGCACGTCTCCAGGAGGCTTAGAACAATCTCTCACAGCAGTGAATTCGGCACACAAAGTTGTACTTGAGCGGCCTCACTTATGTTTTGGGTAGGGCATAGCAAGAATTAAAAATAGAAATTAATGATGGTGAATTTGTGTTTATTTTTAATTGGGCTTTGTTCTCATCTGACTGGATTATTAGTTTAATTTACTGGATAAATTATTTGGTTTTGACTAACATTGAGTGAGAAGTCTCTGAACACAGTGTATCGATCTTTTATGAACTCTCATGCTCCCGCTGTTGTTCCTTAATTTAGGTGTATCAGAGGGGATCAAATTTCTGCTCCCCTTTTCTCCTCACATTTATTTTCACATTGACCAACCAAAAGAACAATCCCCTTTCTTTACATGTGAGCAGAAAATCAAACTGTTTTTTAATGCCTTTAGCCGTTTCTAAAGCTGCTGGAGCAGACTTTGATGAGAGGCACAGGCACAGGGGGAAATCTTCATTGAATATCTCGCTGTGCTCCTTTTTCCCTAAAATGCCCTGGAAGCAGGAGGGGTTTTCTGGTGGCTGTCACACAGTGAAAGACTTCCTTCTCCAAGGAGCATTGTTAGGAGTATCAGATGTTGCTGAATGTTGGAGCTTGTTTTGGGGGGAAGAAGAAATGTTTATTCCATTCGAAGTTGTTTTACCTGGCATGAGCATTGCTGTTGGAATTCATCTCAAGTACAGTACTACTGCTCCTATGTGGCTGATGTTTTTCAAGGAAATCATAGGCCTAAAAATAGTCTGCATAAACAACTGTAAGAGGTTTGTACTTTCAGTTCCAGGTTTTAGCAATATCTTGTTGTTATTTTCTAATTTTCAGTTTCCAAAATCCATTAAGCTGATTAGCAGAGTGTTTAAAAATAAAACAAAACTAAATTAAAAAAAAAAAAAACAAACCCAAACACAAAACAAAAGCAAAGTCCCACCTCTTGTGGAATCCAGCATAAAATGTTCTGCTTGGATAAATTCATACAGAAAAGCTGGGTGATTGCAGTAATCACCTTTGTATCTTGATGAACATGTTCTGTTCGGAACATTTTTCAAGCATCCTCCAACTTGTGAAATTGCCATGTGATTCTGAAACTGCTCTGAGGGGAGAGGATGGGGTGGAAACATTCGTGCTACTTGGAACTCACGGCTGTTGTACATATTTAACATCCTCTGTGTACTGAACAGAGAGTTTTATTTCTTCCCTTTGGATTTAAAAAAAAAAAAACAAAAAAAAAGATAAAAAAATTACTTAACAGTTTGGAAGATATGAGGAAAAAATCCAGCTTGCAAATTGCAGAGCATAGTTTGTCACCACTTTATCCTTGTGTGTCTGTGGCCATGTCACGTTCAGTGATGGAAATTGATCTTTGCACTTTGTTTCACGTGTTTTTGTAGCGTGTTAACTTAAATTATACTTTAATATGTTTAAAATTCTGTAATTCAGTCTAAACAAAAATTAATTTTCACGTGTCTCTGAAGCAAGATCTTCTTGGTGAGGAACCAAGTTCCTGGTGAAAAGGGCATTGCACTGAAGCAGTTGTCAAAATACAGTATTTTTTTCCCCCCCCTTTACCTGCTCATTAGGTGTTTTAGGAAGTCATTTGGGGCTGAAGCTGGGGCTGAGTCGTGTGGTGGCTTTACTGGGACCTTTTTGGGTTTTTGATTGGTGAATCTGATCCCTTTTCCCCCGTTGAAGCTGTGACTGTTGTTAGTGCACATTAAAGGAGGCAGAGAAAACTCGCCTTGCCTTTTTGATTTCTGCTTCAGAGAGAAAACAATTCATGCAGAGGAATTTCAGAGGCAGCTCAAAGCCTATTGCTTTAAAGGCTGATTAATCATTAATGTTAAGGGTAAGGGCACTGCTGAAGTGGAAGGGGCTGAGCAAGGGGGCACCTGGCCGAGGACCTGGTGTTGTGCAGTGGGACTGGGGGCAAATGCCATAAATCTGCATTCTGAGCTGCTGGTTTGCCACCAGAATAAAGCAGAACTAACTAATTCCTTGAGATTTTTGCTCTCTGAATTGAAGTGAAAGATAATTATGAGGTTGTAGTTAATTGGTAAAAAAAAAATGAATACTCCAGAGTATAATCTGTAGGTAATGCCTAATGAATTTGAACAAAATATCTCTCTTATTACCCATTTAGCTAACTACTGCTGCTGCTCCAGAAAGTAACTGAAACACTGATACAGCAGCTGACAGAAAAATCAGTGTTCCCTCTCACTTAAACTTGTACTGAAATGGGTTTAGTGCTTTCATTTATCTAAAGAACTATAGAGATGATAAGTTGTTTAAAAATACTCATTTTACTTTCAGGGAAAGTACATGTGGGCAATTTGCTTGAGTCACTGCTTTACCGTTAATAGTAGCAGGTTCTATCGTAGGATCCGGGTGAATAAATGACCCAAATTAAACTCCTGGTGTGTTTGTGGAGGAAGGAGCCGGCGGGAGGGGCTGGAATGAGATTCCCAGATGAATTAATTAAACTGATCTCAGCCCTCTGCCGGCTGCTGCTGGGAATGCTCGTCCTCAGGACAAGAACCCAAATTGAGCCATTTCAGTGTGTGATTTTTCATCATTTTGTGAGTCTGGGAGCATTAAAATGCACCAGAATTTACCTGGAAACCCTCAGTTACTAAAGCATCAGGAAGTTTGTCTGATTTGAGAGTAACAAATTTCTCTTTTTTCTTTCCTCTCCCCAGTTTTCTAGACAAGATTGACATAGTCAAACAGAACGAGTACACCCCGTCTGACCAGGTATGTGGAGCTTTGTAAGGAAATGACACAATTTATCTGCCCCTTCATCTTTGGGGGTAATTAATTCATTTTCTAATTGCCATTTCAGGCATTGCCATGCACTGTCCACATATAGTATTCCAGTAAAAATGGCTTTGTCCTTTGGATTATGTTTATACACATAAATGATGTACAAGGTTACATCACTGACAAGATTTTCATCGTGCTTCTGGGACATTGAACACTCTATACAGTTGCCTGGTGTTGTAGTACAGCATGGGGAAAAAGGGGTTTATTTCCATTGCTGAATATATGGAAACTCACCAAGTATCAGTGTTGAATTGATGCATTTTTCCCTTTACGCTTTAGGATCTTCTCAGATGCAGAGTTTTGACATCAGGAATTTTTGAAACCAAGTTTCAGGTGGATAAAGTAAATTTTCAGTAAGTATAATTTTTTCTTTTTTATGCTTTTACATTTTTTTAATACAACACAGACAAATACCAAGGTAAACTGGGAGGACAGCCTACCATATATTCATTGAGCCTACTGTATTTCTCAAGTATCAGTGTTTAATAGAAAGGAAGTATTTTATGATTTTTTAATTTAGTAGTCAGGCTTGAAAATGGAATGCAAATTGATGTGCAATTTCTGCTTTATTTTAAATCACAAAGAACAAAATGTTTTAAATTTATTTTCTCTGCATGCATGTGCTCATGGATTATTTACCTGTTCAGGTTCTTGTAATCCAAGATTAACTTTTGTGACACAGAAGTCCTCAAGTTTCTTTTCTGTTTGCATGCAGATACAAGCAAAAAACTCAGCACAAAATGATTCTGACTGACTGGGTTTATGTTTTTTCCTCAGTATGTTTGATGTTGGAGGGCAACGAGATGAACGCCGAAAATGGATCCAGTGTTTTAATGGTAGGATTAGAATTTCTGTTGGCTTTATAAAACAGTTCTCTGCAGAACTGTAGTGGCTAATGTTAATTTTCTCAGCTGTGAAATCCATCATCTTTCCATGTAGATTTAGATTAGGAATTATCTAACAGTCACAGAGGATTAAGTTTTTCTTGACTGGTAAACTCCTGTAACCACATAGAACATCTTCAAGGAGAATGTAGGTGGAGAGGAATTTGAGTTTGATAGCTTCAGCTTGTCCATTTTTTTGGCTTCCCTCTCTTCACTAGGTATTTTTGGAGGTGGCATTGTGCATTATTTGCCAGCTGTGAGTGTAAATTCCAAGCCATGTTCTGTCCTCAGTGTGCAGATTTACAATGGATGTGTCTGTTCAAAATACAAAATATAGAATAATTATTACATGCATAAAATCAGATTATCACATTTTTGTGTATAATTGCAGCCACTCGGCTCTGTTGTGGTGGTTCTTTCTGAATCAGCACTGACCCAGTAATGCAGAATGAGGTTGTAGGGAGCATGTGTTTGGTTAGACACATCTGGTGAGAGCTGGAGTCTTTTAACAGCAGTGTCCCCATGAGTTCAGGTCAGGTTTAATTCCCACATGACTGAAATTAGGCAGTTCTGTGTCAGTCCTGAAGTGTGACAGGTGCCTTCACTGCAGCTCTTTGTTTTATCTGTATCTTTAGATGACAAACCTTTCTGTTTAAGAAAACAGGTTTTCTTAAACCTAGACTTGATAAAAATATTTTCTCTTCATTGTTGATTGGACAAAATAGCAATGAAGTTACACAAAAAAGTCACCTTTTTGTAGAAAAGTTACAATGAGATCCTAGAGAATAAATAAAGCAGAATGCACCTTGAAATTCATGGTGCATTGCTCCAGCTCCTGTCACAGAATCACCTAGACAGTGTGTGTGTGTGGAAGGACAGTGCAATATTTTCTTCTGTATTCGTAACAGATTTGTTTGGGTTTTACCTCTGCTCCTTCCTTTTCCTGTTACCTCATGGTCTGACTCATCTGTTCTGCTGCTGGTGCCGAGGTAGATGAGCCTGGAAGTCAGTGTGGGGGACTGGAGCAGCACAGGGATCCAGATCCTGTGATCCTGGGAATGCCTCCCAGGGAAGAGATGGGGCTCTAAGCAGTAAAACCCACTACAGGGACCAGAGCAGTTGACCATGAATTCACGGCAGTCTGCTGTTGTTATCACACAAATCAAAAGTGCTGTTTGTCCTGAGGTTTTCCCCCAAGGACCTCTCTGTCCTTTCCTGATAGCTCACAGTTGTTTTCAATTTTCTTTACATACTTTAAATCTTCTTTTAATTCTCCTCTTGGCTTTCTTCAGTTTCTCTTGCTTCAGTTCCTTTCTTTCCTACATTTTTTGTCATTCTGTCAGCTTCTGTTTTGGGGCCTGCCTTGACTGTCTTCCATGGTTTCTTCACTTTCTTTTTTGGTTCCTGGTACTTAAAAAGCTGTCAGCAGCAGCATCCCAGCCTGTTCTCTGCAGGGAGCTGAAAGTCTGTCAGCTTCTTACTGAACTTCATGATTCATGGATATTTTTTCTGAGGTTTGCATTAACTGAAGGATATTTCTTGGTTTAGATGTGACTGCTATCATATTTGTGGTGGCGAGCAGTAGCTACAACATGGTGATACGAGAGGACAATCAGACCAATCGGCTGCAGGAAGCACTAAACCTCTTCAAGAGTATCTGGAACAACAGGTCTGTGAAAGGCTCTTATCACTGAGGTCACTGGTCCTGTCTCACCCTGCAGTCACCACTCAGATGGGCCTGCCTGGGGCAAAGTTCATTTTCTCCCTAACAGCTCATAGAGTGTCATGGTTTAGGTTTTGCCCAAATCAATGCTGGTAACACACTAATGCTGCTGAGCAGAGTGTGCAGAGCATCGAGAACCTCTCTGTTCCTGCCCCTGCAGTGAATCCTCAGGGGTGTTGGGAGGGGACACAGGTGAGCAGATCCAAACTGACCAGAGCTGTTTTCCATGCCACATAACTCGTGCTCTGCAGTAAGGGGGAAAAGAGGGGGTTTTGGGTTGGTACCCAGCTTGCTGGGTGTTGGTCTGCCCACAGGAGGTGCTGAGTGATTGCTTTTGAATCACTTGTTTTGTCTTCTCCTCGCTTTTACTTATCCTTCACTACTTAAACAGTCATTATTTATATTTTATCTTGACCACCAGATTTTTTTGTTTTCATTCTTCCTTTCCTCCTCCTCCATCCCCTGAGGAGGAAGGTGAGTGAGGAGCTGTGTGGTGCTTGGCTGCCCACCAGGGCTAACAGCACAGGGGGCTCTGTTATTCACATCTCCCAGCACAGTCTGGGCTGGTTCTCTTCACAGCCTCACAACTTTAAGGTTTATTAACTCAAATCAATGAAAAGAGTTCTGCACAGCTACTCATTGGTGGCTGCCATATTGAGGCTGAAATAATTCAAGTAGTGATGGAGCAGTGCTCTGGGAGGTGGAAATGCTTCCCTGGAACAGCAGGAAGTGGGGAGCACCCAAACAGCCTCAGGGTGTGCACACCTGGAATTACCCTCTTGGGATTCAGGTGTAAAAGGAACCTTTCCAGATCATTCCAGTGTGTCATATGATCTTGTCACCAGACATTTTGTGTGACTTACTTTAAGTTTCTGTATGATCTGGGCTGTGCCTCCTCACAGTGTTTGGTTTCCATTTTCCACAGGTGGCTACGGACCATTTCAGTAATCCTTTTCCTGAATAAACAAGATTTGCTAGCAGAGAAAGTTTTGGCAGGGAAATCTAAAATTGAAGACTACTTTCCAGAATTTGCTCGCTACACTACACCAGATGATGGTAAGACTTTTAAGTTTCGTTTGCAATTTATCATTTCTTTATTAATCACATTTGTGATTGTTTTGGTAGCTTCAGTTAAGACTTGAAAACTCTTACGTAGATGTAATCATCAATGTCTTTTAGCCAAATTGTAATGTTGAATTTAAGATATAAATAATGGAAGATTCCTGCCTCTGAAACGTTTAATATCTTAATAATTTCATCATGACAAAATCCTTTTACTTTGGTGTAGATGAAAGTCTGACATTTTGTCACAAATGTGTCCTTGGGACTCCCCCACTCCTGCCTGTGGTCATTTCTCTTACCTGCCAAGTGCCTGGTACTGTGGCCATGGTAATACTCCCTTGTTCTCCTGAAATCCTGCTTTAATCCTGGTTTAAATAATGTTATGATTTGTCTTGTCTCACAGTCAGTTTTGCCAAGTGTATTTCTGTCATATGCGAGCAGAAAACAGAACAAGTTGAGATTTTTAGGTGCTATTACCAGAAAACACCTGTTTTAATAAGATACTTATTTTATTATTAATCAGCAACACCAGAGCCTGGTGAGGATCCCAGAGTTACAAGGGCCAAGTATTTTATTAGAGACGAGTTTCTTGTAAGTATTTCCTTTCTTTGGCTATTTCTTAAGTGATTCTTCTCAAACCCAAGCTCTTGCTCACCTTCTGCTACTGCAAAATTCTGTCATTTCTTGTGTTGTTTATATTTAACATCCACATGGCATCAATCACTGTTGTATTTATGAGCTTTACTGCTGTTTCTTAGCTGGTTTTTTGATATTTGTTTGTACATAATTAAATAGTAAAAGAATTGCTAAGAATTAAGAAATCCCAAATAGAATGGTGAGTGAAGTCCTGCTGTTATTAATGGAGCCAGATTTTTATTCCATGCATTATTTCTAAAGATAGAGACTAATGAAAAAATACCTCATTTGTCAGATATTAATGTTCTTTTCATATTATCTTTCCCATTACTGGTCAGCTGAAGCTATAATGGACATAGATTTTTTATTTTTTTTTTTAATATTGTTACAATTACTTTTAATGGTGAGCTTGGCAATCAAATTGTGGACTCATTTTAAAATGGAGCAAAACAAAAAGTTGAGGGAGGCTTTCTGTGAGTGTAAAGCAGGGATAAAAGCTTTGTACAGGAAGGCAAAATCCTACTTTTCTCATGGCTAAATGGACTAGGAGATGTGTTGCTAAATCCACCAAAGCTGCATATAAATAATGGCATTTTCCTGAGTTCTCATTCCTTTCTGAAATTTCCCAGCTTGCAGTGACCATCTCACCATGTAATTCTGATCATTTTGAATTTCATGTTTCAGGTGAGAGAGGGAAAACTTTGTGGGCATTTTCCACTCAGTTGCACTTTTTGAAGACAGAGCTCACACTGCACATCTCACCTTCATTCAGCTGAGCTTTGGGGACGGGTTGGGGTTCCCCCAGTGGGTTTTATTTTAATCCAGTGTCTCTTGCTTTGCACAGAGAATCAGCACAGCAAGTGGAGATGGAAGGCACTACTGCTACCCTCACTTCACATGTGCCGTGGACACAGAGAACATCCGGAGGGTTTTCAATGACTGTCGGGACATTATTCAGCGCATGCACCTTCGCCAATACGAGTTGTTGTGATGGAGAGCACTTTTTTCTGTGTTTTGGACTCCTTATTCCTTATTAAAAAAAAGAAAAAAACCACCCTTGCCCACATAGGGTGGAAGAGAACTGTTTGAATCTCCCATTGATTTGCACCCCTCAACTTTTTCTCCTTGCTGGACAATAGCAGCACTTCTAAGCTTGCTTCTGTACCCCCGGGACAGTTTGAGATGGCCCCTAACACTTAAAAGGCCATTTCCATGAGGATTCCCTAACACTGTTATTAACAAATAAGAGAGGGAAAAAAAAAAGGAAAAAAAAAAAAACCAAAACAAAAAAAACCCCTTAATTAATTAAAATCCCTGAATGCGGAGCACCTGAAAGAATTGGGGATGAAAAAATTAAAAAGTTGAAATAAAAATTGGGGGAGAGAAAACTTTAGGTAATTTAGCACTGCTGTGGGCATAATCCTATAACCCGTGATCTCCACTTTGTATCACTCACTGCATCCGAGTAACGAAGGTGCCAAGTCACAGACCAAGTTTGAAGACAGACCCTTGAGTTTGGTTCTCTGACTGTAATGTGGCTTTGGGCGGAAATACTGACAATTCTCCAACAGACCTAGACAGTGCAAAAACCAACTGCTACCTTTCAGAAGGGTATTTTTAAAACCAGTCTTGGTGGTCTAAAGACAACCATGGACATTTATGAATTGAACTGCGTATGGCCTGTGATTGCAGAAAGAGTTAACCACACACTGTTTTCAGTTTGTCCACTGATGATCCCGTCTGCTCTAAAAATCATTATCTGGACTGTAGTCCTCACAGTCTTTCCCTTCTTTTTCTTCTTCCCTTCCCTCATTTTTTATTTTACTGCTGGATTATTATTCTTGTACAGACTGTAAAATGTATTATTTTGTACAACTTTATTGAAAATAACTTGTAGAAGATCTTTGTGCCTTGATTATGGCTGTACCTGTACAATGAGCTAAGATGTAAGTATGTTTGATTGCGCTGTACAGCTTTGTCAACCCTATCTGCAGCATTAGCTCAAGGTAGGGAAAATTTATCTGTAGTTTAGTTTTTCTGGTTTATAAAAGAAGGAAAAATACTGTTTAGTAAAAAAAAAAAGGAAAAAAAAAGAAAAAAAAAAAAGAAAAAAGTACAAATTGTGCAAACTTAACCACTTTAAAAGTGAGGTCTTCAACAAGTGACCAGATGTTGCAGCATCGTGCTTTTTAATTTTTAGCTTTAATTCATTTAAATCTCTATCCAAATGCAAAACATGGCTTGTTTCTACATAAAACCAAATTTTGCTACAAATTATAAATGTTAGTCTTTGGTCATTCATAGTCCTTTTTTTGCTAAAGACAAAAAAAAACCAGAACAATAACAGACACGTAGGGCATCATGCAGGTCTGGTGACCATCTCTAGACTGGGCCAAATACCCACCAACCTCGGCTTGCGCTGCGTGGGCAACGACTACCAGAATGACAAGGTGTGCACTGCCCTTGGATTTGGCCACTGAATTCCAGTTTCAAATGACATTTTTATTTCTCTTTTAATAAAGAGATACTTTAGAACATTTTTTGTTTTATATTAACTATATAAGTAGCTTAAAAGTGAAGATGTGTGGATTTTTTCTTAAACTTGAATAATTTATGCAAATTATATGCTTAGAACAACATGTGGTACAGTAAAAAGAAAAAAGAGCAAAAATCACTGTAGCAATAAGAGAGCATGTAATTTTAGTAACTACTACACTGCTTTATATTTTATACCTAGGTGTTTTATGTCTCTGTGAGTGTGTTACTTTTTCATGTGTCTAAACCTACGTGTACAATTTGTACAGAGTCAGAAATTACAGCTGTAATAACACATCTAGAACAGTGTTAGCCTATATTACTCAAACACCCCTGTTCCCCCTTCATTTACACCCCTAAACTGATCTGGATCTTAACTGCAGTGACTTTAAAAGGAAAAGAAACAAAAACAAACACCAAAATTCTTGCCTCTTTGCCTTTCACACTAGCTTCCCTCCACCCAAGAGACCGTGTTGGCTTTCTTTTTTTGGGAAGAGATCCAGTTTAAATTCAAGTGAGGGTGTGGTCAGTGATGTCTGTGCAGCTAGATTTGCTTCAGGTATCAGATGCCTTTTCAGTACTAAGAACTGCAACTGTTGAGAATTGTGACTTTTCATTTGCATTTGTGGCTAAAGTCTTAAAATGAATCACACAGTCCATTTTCACTGGAGAGCAGGGATGTGAGGGAGTTACTGTCCCATCTCAATTCAGAATTGCTTCCAGAAGACACTGAATAGTTGAAAAATTTCAGCTGCGGTTGTTACTGGCCTTTCAATATGATCTTTCTTGTTCACAGGTTTAGACAGTTGCCACCTGAACTTTGTAGAACTGTAGAAAACATGACTGAAAATAGGCCCCTCCAGTTCAGAATGTATCCAGTGCCTGTAGGTAAAGGGCTGGCGTTTCCACTAGGTAAAAATGGGACACACGTAGTGGAAAGGAAATTCATTGTGAGCCTTAATTTTAGTTACAGGAGCCAAAATCTTTATTTTAGTGCCAACCCTTATCTTGTTAAGCCTAGGAGGAGTTGGTGTGAACACCAAATTTATAAATGGAGAAAACCTGTAGTGGTGAGAGGAATGTAATCTCTTGTCTGAGAGAAACAAAGCACCTCCATTAAAAATAACAAAATAAGCTTCTTCCTCTGATGAGGACACATAATAACAATGAGCTATATAAGACAGCAACAGTTTAAGAAACCTAAAGCTTTATATGGACAGATATGTTTAGGGGATGCTTTTTTTTTTTTTTCTCTCTTATGTGAGGAAAAAGGCAATTGTTTTGAATATGGTTGAGTTGCACAAGTACAGAGCGTGTGTGTGTGTCTTAATGTCTCAGTATTGCCTTTGTTAGTCTCTTTATTAGTCCATGCAGTTTGGTGGCCTGGTAAATGCAAGTCTTATTTTTAACAGCTTTCTTTTTCCTTTTTTTTTTTTTTTTAAATACAAAACCATAAAGCTTTAATGCTTGCTATTTAATAAGTAACTGTGTTTTCTTCTGTCTCTAATTTAGTGGCCATAATTTGCAGTTAATTGAACCATTCCAACCTAATGCTTACCCATATTTCTTAGTTTTGTTTTATTTATTTATTTGAACTTCTTGTTTTCATGATTGAGGACTGTCACTTCTGTCTCATTCATCTGTTTGGAAACTTCTGACCTTACAGCCAAAACTTCACTCGTTCTACTCAGTATTCATCGTGATGCTGAAGTGTAAGATACCTGCAAATGTAAACACTACCACTTTTATTAATAAAAGCAAATACAGTGTTTTTAGGGCACATTTGCATCACTGTAGTTGAGGTTGTGTCAGTATTTCCATTGTAAACCTATGGAGGGTCTTACCTTGGCACTAAACTGCCCTAAGCTGAATCTTTGCCATACAAGGCTTCTGCTCAAGTGTGATTTGGTGGGTTGGTTTTTCAACAGTTTCCAACACAAACTCTTGTTTCTGTTTTAAGTTATACAACTGTTTTGTTGGATGGGGGTTGGTTTAAAAAGAAAACAACAAAAAAACAACAAACAAACCTGGTTCAAGATTGTTTTTGGCACTTCTGTAACTCAGAAATGGTTTTGATTTTAAAACAACCTTCGGCAAGCCAGTAACCTACAATATGGTCTGATCATTTTGGGTATTTTGTAAAAATAATAATAAATTGTAGAGATGTTGTGGTTTCAAAATCAGCTACTGTGCATTTGCAGTAACTTATTTCAACCCAAGAACTTTTAGTAATTTGTGCATCAGAGCACACATTCAGTGTGGTGCAGCAGAGTAGGGATAACTCCTATAAAGATTTTTTTCTTTTTTAATAATGTGGAGAGATAAATCCACTAGAAACTAAAAAAGGATTCAGCTGCCTCTGAAAGCATCAAAAACTACTCTCAGAGGTTGAAACTGGAGCTCTACAAGTTGATAAGAGCAGACTTTGATGCAAAAGCCTAGGAAGGCATCCTGGATCAGCTGTCAAAGGCAGGAATCCTGAGGGCTTTTCTTCATTTATCTAAAAACTGTTTTGATTCGTGGCATCAGGGCAGGATTTAACTGAGGGTATGTCCTCACTCCAGAGGAAGGGAAGCTAACACTGCTCCACTGTGCTGCATGGAATTGATACCTGCAGGGTAATTTCCTTCTGCCAGTAAATCTATGCACAGAAATATTAATGTTCGTGGCTTCAGAACTTGAGCACCTTGTAATTTGTCGTGGTGTGTTGTTCCTGTAAATGATGGAGGATGTTTTGTATTATTTATCTTATTTTCCAATGTCAAAAATTATGTGCCAGTAAAAACAAAAGACATAAAGACAGGAGATTGACCCCAGACCTGGAGGCAGAGCCCGTGACAGCTGAGTACCAGTCCAGTGCCTTAGTGACAATGCTCTTGGTGATTGGTGCTATACTGTTGTCTTAAGAGTGATAAAGTTGTTCTAAGTTATAAAATTATGTGACTCGCTGTGGAAGAGAGTAAGTTCTCTTCTTTCCCCAGCTGTACCTAATGTGCTGTGTGTGTTCCTTAAAATGCTGGCACTCCCAAGACCTCTTCCATGGAAGTAGATGATAAAATTCCTATTAACTTTAATAAGCAGGATCAGGGCCATAGATTGCTATCAGTGGAAATCACACACAGGAGCAGGTCCTCATTTCTAAAATAAATGTTGAGTTTGTGTAACAGTAAAAATGTGTATAAGCAAACATCTGTTTGCAGTCCAAAACCAAACTGTGCCCTTCTTTCTCAGCTTGGTATCTCTGAAAATGTATCTGTTGGGAAAAAAATCTTCCTGTTCTGTGACAGACTTTGAAGCGTCTTTGTAAATAAGCTACAAAGGGGATTTCTGAAGCTCTGCTGATGAAAGCCTGACACTGAAAAATCCCTCTGGTGACTGACAAGACAAATTCCAAGAGTGAGCCTATTTTAATCCTGGTCATACCCAGTTGGCTTCAGTCCCATGAGTGGGTGTGTGTCAGGGTAGGTAAAACTGCTTCAGAGTTTTACTGTAGTGCACAGACTGCTAAAACTTGAGCCATAAGTGCTGGCTTCATAATTAATTGTTTCAACCCCTGATTCTCATTAAAAGCTCAAACTGCTTTTTACCCTGGTTATTTTCAGTGTACTGAGCTGAGCAAAATGGGTGCAGTATAAAGCATAAATTGACCTGGAAAAACAACATGGGAGGAGGTGGGGAGACAAACAATCTCTCACTGCATTAATCGTAAAAATAATAAGGTGGAGGTTTTTTTCTGACTTCTGTGTCCTAGAAACTGATTCTGTGGAAAACAGAATTCCCCAGGGTAACAACAGCATTGATACCTCTGTAACATGGATAACTAACCATTAACTATTGAACTACTGGACAACTATTAAATATGTAATAGATAATTAAAAATCCACCGAAACAAACTTACAGATTTTCCTATTTTTTTTTTTTTTCCCCACTTAGGAAGTCTGACTCAAAATTGTTGAATGACAGAACAAAATAAAACCTTTAAACATTTAAACAAGGTAGGAGAAGGATACATTTGTGAGGGAGAAGATGCTGACATTAGGGATTTTTGTGTAACATGCTTTCTAATGCTGGGGTACCAGCAGACAAATGTAAGTAAATTCAAAATTAAAATGTGAATTTATCTCTTCACCTTAATTTACCCAGTCATTTTATTGAATGAGTTGGCTAATTTATTTTTTTAATATACTACTACTCAAGTCTGGAGAAAGACATGCCTAGGACGTGGTAATGTTGGGAAGCCTCAGTTCTGTTGTTCTGTCATGCAAACTATTGTTTTAGGCTGTGAATTTTATGTGAATTATTAATAAGTGAAGTACAGTGTTTCTATCTGTAGTTTTCTGGTATTTGATGTGACTTTGAACTGTATCATTCTTGCAACTGAAATGCCAGAGTGCCAGCAAAGGGACAGCTGTATCAGGGTTAGGAATTGCCAGATCAGGGGGGCACATTCCAGTTCTTTATTTGCTACATTTTCAGTTTGCTGTTGGCAGGATCAGAAGAGCTTCCACAAAAATTACGGGTTGGGTGATAGAACTAAATATTGTGGAAGAGCTCAAAGTATTAATGGAAAGTGTTTCAGACTGGTGCTGAGGTAGAGCCGTGGAGATGTGTCCTGAGGGGGTGTGAGGGGTGATGAATATCTCAGTAGTTTTAAGCTCTATTCTCGTACTGTTTGAAGGCACAACATCCAAAATGAAGTAATGGATTGTGACCGTTTTGGTGCTAACCCTGAGTTCTGTTTCTCACAGGGCAAAGCTCTGCTGGGCTACAGAGGTTCATCTGTGTAAGGCAGTCTGGAAGCCCAGAGCAGCCATGAGCAACAGCTTTTGTGAACCTGTTTGTGATTTAAAACTGGGAAATTTAACAGCAAATTGCTCTGTCCTGCAGCATGACCCAAACCCTGCTGCCTCTGGGTTCAGCTGCTTTCTCCTGTCCTCACCCCCCTTACTCTTGTAACAGTGTGGTTGATAAGAGAATAGAGCAATTATGAAAGAGGGCATGAGACAACTTCAAAATCCATCACCTTGGACACTGAAAGAAATTTAGGGGGGAAATTCTTTATTCCCCAGGCGAGTGACCCAATCTGGGATCCTCATACAAATTTTCAAGGTCAGAGAATGAATCTATCCCAAAAGTCCAGGGATATCCAGTTAAGGAACTGCAAAAAAAAAAAAGGCACTTTGTGCACCCATTAGAGCTGGGAGATGTTTAGTGAAATGTGAGTTTAATGATCAGCATGAAAATCAACAGGAACTTGCTTTCAAGCAAGAAAATTTTTCCACCACGGGCTCACCTTGAGAAGCACTTGGGGCGTTGGGAGGCTCAGTGTTTTAAGCAATCCTCAGTATATAAAATACAGTTCCAACTTTTAAGTTGACATTCGAAGGACACTAGAATGACATCACATCAGCAACCTCAAAACCACCTTGTTTTGTCTCAGAATATTCTTGGTTACCTGGTGAAGTGTCGTGTGTTCAATGTCTGGAATAACTGTTACCAGTACTCGAGGTACAAACAGAAATGCTTCATCTTGAGGCTCTGCTTAAGAAGGAGGAACTCTTTAGCCAAAACTCATTAGCCTAACGATGCTGCTGTAATTTCCTACTCCATTGGAAAGTTATTACCTTATCTCTAGTTGAATGTATTGGCTGCTTTGTAAAGGGCTAACGATTACAAAAATACAAATTTATGCTAAAAGAATTTGTAGAGGGCAAGGAGCAGAGGGAATGACAGAGAATGCCAGGGTGAATATTTTTAAAAAACATATGAATAAAAGGCAAACAGTTTTGTTGGAATTTGGCTCTTCTGTTTGGGATTTTTCTTCTATATTTTAGGAAGGAACCACATGAAGTTGGATGGTTTCATCAGCTGTATTACACTCATCCCTTTAGGCAGCAAATCCTGAAGTACAGTTGTTAAATAATTTGGTCAAAAATCAAGCAAATTTGGATAGCTGGAATTGATACTTGAGCATTTGATACTTTATTTTCCTGTTAAATAACAACAACAACAAAAAAGGTACAAAAAGAAAAAACAATGTAATTTTCCATGTTCCTGTACATCTGGCTCTTCTTCACACACTTTCACTTTCCAGAATGCCTTTACTGCTTCCTCCAGTCATGCAGCAGAGCCTCCAAGGCTGACCTTCACTGGATATTTATTGGACTCCAAATTTTCTCTCTGTCTCAAAATCTATCTCAAAATTTGCTCTCTGCCTCATCAATATCTCATTAGATAGATATTGTTGTCACTCAAGAATATTTTACACAAAAAATGTAGTCAAATATTCATTTAGGGAGAAAATTGGTTGCATTAATTTGCTGCATAATAAAACCTTTCAGGGATATTCAGGTAAATCTAAGTGCTTTTAGTCATGAACATTTCACTGAAGCTTTGTAAAACACAAATCCATATGGGGGAATGCAGTTAAATCCAAGAGACAACCAATATTGTTTCCATTCAAAATTGTCAAGGTTTAGTTAGCTAAATCAAATTCTGGTACATGTAATAGTTCATCACATTTTAAGTGATGTCTTGAAACTGTTCAGTTTAATCTGATTTTACCTCTTGTTTATTGACCTGAAGTGAGGCAAGGTTGAATATTGCAATTCTGCAAAGGGCTATTCAGCAAATGTCTGGCTGCTACAGATCCCTAGTTTTCTTCTCAAGGGAAGCTGAAAGTAAATGCTTTGAGTGTTGTTCATTCTTTATATATTAAAAAAAAATAATCTTTTTCTGTTACTGCAATCAAAATAAAGATATATAAAGATGGAAAACCTCTAGTTTTAAGATTCAGGCACTGAAATTGTATCATAAATGTCTAATACCACTATGTGTCTTAATGGCAGTTGATGCTGAGGACTGTTCCCATTTTCTACTCAATTAAGCAGGAAGTTTTGTAGCGTAATTACCACTGAAGTCCCACAAGTCCAGTTGTTGTCACCAGACAAAACTTTTGCCTGCTCTGAGAATGTTTTACTGAGGCTAAGAGTGTTTCAGGCCATAAGCTCTGGCACAATGAAGTCCTCCAGGCAGCAGATCCCAATGTCCTGCCCAGGAGATGCACAGCAAATTTTGGTTGTGGGAGGAAGATTCTCCTACCTGTATAAAAATTGTGATGCAAAGTGTATTTAGTTGAACTTTATGTAAAGAACCAGAATCTTCTCCTAAGGCTTAGAAAGTCTCAGACTTACGGTTTTCCCATTCAGTTTCATTGGAATGTTAAGTTCTGGAGACTCACTTTTTCTCCAATTTGAAGTTTTCTGAACCTTCTGTTAAGGTACTATAATGGTTACTCTGAAATCACCTCCAGAGAACTTGTCCTGCACCTAATTACACATCTTATAGCTTCACTGCAAGCCAAAAAAAAAACCAAAAAAAAGAGCTGATGAAGCACAGGAGGTGTAGAGATGTTTCTTATGACACTCTCATGAAGTATTTTTTTCTTTCTTGGTTGGGGATGGATTAAATTCAAATCTGGAATTTTCTTAGGAAGCTCTGACTGGTTAATCACACTGTTCTGAGTTCACGGTTATTTCTCACATCTATGGGATGGAAATTGCCTGCTAACCAAATGGAGATGAGCCAAAAGTTTTTTCTCAAGGATATTTCCATTGGCTCCTAGCCTCAGCTTGTCACTTCATCCCCAGTTTATCCCTCATAAAAAACGACCAGTGGTTCCACAGGCACTGGGATGCCCCTCACTGTCCCCTGCCTGCAGTGGGAAATGTGGAAAACCTGTCCCTTGTGGCTCTGCTTCAATCCATGTCGTTTATTCCAAAAAAGTCTTTTTTCCTTTCTGCTGGCAGAGCAAAAAGCACATTACCCCGGGCTCTCCTGAATGTCAGCGTTTCAGGAAGGGCTGCTTCACCACTGTAGGGCAGCACACGACAGCACAACTCCTTTGCTGCTGTGCTGCAGCTCAGGTGCTGGGGTACATTCTCTGTGTGGATCTGTGTGAACAGCAAATCCACTGATTAGCACAGCTACCACATTTGAACAAGGATTTTGTCTGCTGAGATCCTATAACTTATTTCTGAACAGGGTTTTTTTTTTTGCCTTTCTTACCAAGCAATGCATGGAAGACAATGTCACTTCTTTTTACTATTTTTCAGTTAGCAACTGAATGAGAATAAAGGACCTTTTAAATAATTAATCAGCAAAACTCCTGGCTGGCCTCCAAATCCCAGAACACACCCTCACCCTCCCCTTTCTCACAGTTAAACTCTTATACAACTGAAGAACGGGAGTGGATCTGAAGAGAGACAAAGGGACTTTGTTTCTCACATGGTCTCACTAGTGCCTCTCTCCTTGCCTGAGGCCTGATTATGTGATCAGTTTTCATTGTAGACTTGTCCCCTGTCCATCTAATTCCTTGTCCCTCCCTTCCTAGGGACCTCTTGACCCGTTGTATTCGCTCAGCATGCCCAGGCAGGGTCCCAGAGTGGGCTGGGGTTGTACTTTTGTGGATGGGGAACAAATTCTGTGCCACAGGTGGCCCTGCCTGGTTACAGAACAGCCTCAGAACGGGGGACGCGGCTCTCCCAGCACCTCTCCTCTGCCCAGAGATGCCCGATTTCATTCTCCCCCAAGCTTTTTCTTTTTGTTTGGCTGGGTTTGGTTTTTTGTTTGGTTGTTGATGTGTTTGTTTGTTGTTTTCCTACTTGTCAGTTTTTCTGTTTTTTCTGTAACATTTCATCATTTCTACCAACTTGGCGGTCGTTCAACATCGTCCTCATGCTTCCATATGAGTGAGGGAGGGAGGGAACTGCTGTTGTCCAGCTGCAGCCAGAGGAGGAACACACCCCTTGGAGCAACACATTCCATGGAGCAACGCATCCCTTTTTTCCCTCTTCCCTTGCAATTCTCAGCCGACTGCTGCTGCGCTGGGAGGTTTTGCAGGGCCCTGAGGCAGTGTGGCCCCTGCCCGCCTGCCCTCAGAGCCTGCGGGGAACATCCTGCCCGCCCGCTCGGAGCTGCCCCTCAGCCGCCGCCATCCCGGGGCCGCCGCCCCGCCTCCGCCGCCGCCATTCC